AAATTAGAAATATGGGAAACTCGCATAACGAGCGTCGTCACAAAAGCTAACCGATCATTAGCTTACATTAACCCTTTCGGCCATGATGTCCTATAAAAAGGACATGAAGAAAGCCAAGTATTAAATGAAATCTAAACAGCCTAGAAACCGAAACTGAGCCTGTGGCGAAAACATCCCCAATGGCAGGGACATCATTTGCTTCTTCCTTCTCCTCCCCGAAGCTCCAGTAGTACACAAACAAAATGGCGGATGGTGAAAACGGCGGCAACGAAGGTGAGCGCATGTTTGTTATTTTTTACTCAATAGCTGCTCGAGTGTTAACAATGAGAATTTCGTGCATTGTTCCTAATATATTCAAGGCTGTAGTGGTAGCAGAAGGGTTCTTCTGGAGTGAATATTATGTCCGCAGCTTGTCACGTTGTATGTGTCCTATAAATAGGATGCCAGGGCTCAACGGGTAACAGGGTTCTGTGGGAGGTTTTGCAACTGTGTGCTTGTTGTTTTCTTTTATAGGAGTCGTAATTTTTATTTTTGCCCTAATTATTTTTTGCTCAGGTGGGACGATACCTCCTGTAGTATTCTACTCGGCTAGAAGATCACTACGCCCAAGAAGGCCATGTCTCGAAGATCCTGATATAATGTTTGCCGCGCTGGGAAATGGTGACATATCCGACGCTGATGATGAAGAAGACGAGACAGATGAAGCCAGCGCAGTTGTCCATGTGGCGGATGACGACTGGGCCAACCCGCAGGAACTGTCCGACTCTTCTGATGAGGATGACCAGCATGAAACGAGAGCCCGAGACCCCGAGCCTTGGTGCAGGAAAGTTTTTGAAAAACCATGTACTCAATTTCAGCCAGTTTCTGATGAGAACGATGGCTGTCTTGGACCTCCTCTCATGCCATATGAGTAGTTCTCGAGGTATGTGCCCAAAAGCGTGTTCACTGAGCTAGCCGATAAGACAAACATGTACTCAATTTGCCATGATGGAAAATCAGTGCTGACAGATGAAGAAGAAATCAGAAGGCTCATTGCACTTCACTTGGCAATGGATGTGATACGCTATCCTCGGTTGCGCTTGTATTGGAAGCCTTCATTCAAGACCAAACTTTTGTCTTCTGTGAGCATGTCAAGAAACCGCTTTGAGAAGCTCAGAAATTGCCTTCATATTGTCGATGTGAATGGCGACCAAAACGCCAATGACCGTCTCTGGAAAGTGAGGCCCCTTCTGAATTCGTTCCAAGAAAGGTGCTGTCAGCTTCCCTTGGAGAAACACCTTTGCGTGGATGAACAAATAATTCAATTCAAAGGAAAGCTGGATGTCAAGCAGTACGTCAAAGGCAAACCAAACCCTTGGGGCGTGAAGGTATGTGTTGTGTGCCGCGTCGGGAGTCGTTTATGATTTCATCGTTTATCAGGGCTCCACAACAGAACTGAGTTCTGAAAAAATGCAAACGTTTGGTGTGACAGGTGCGTTTGTTTTGCACTTTGCAGCAAGGATACCTGATGGCATTGGGCACAAGTTGTTTTTCGATAACTACTTTACCTCCCTGCCGGTGCTCCGTGTTCTTCTGGAGAAAAGAATTTATGCTGCTGGTACTATTCAAAAAAGCAGAACTGAAAAATGCTCTTTGAAGACAGAAAAGCAGCTGAAAAAGGAAGGAAGAGGGTCGTCTGACTACCTAGTGAGCAGTGATGGCAAAATCGTAATCACAAGGTGGATGGACAATCGAACCGTAAACCTGGCGTCGAATTGTGTTGGTGTTGACGACGAAAATGTTGTGAGCAGGTGGAGCAAAGCAGACGGCGACTACATAAGTGTCAAACGCCCTGCAGTTGTAAAGAAGTACAACGAAAGCATGGGAGGGGTAGACAAGCCAGATTTTTTGGTGTCCCTCTACCGGACCTCGATTCGTTCAAGAAAATGGACGCTCCGTGTAATCGTGCACTTTTTCCATCTGTGTGTGACCAACTCCTGGCTTGAGTACAGGCATCATGCCCAGCTCCGAGGCATCAGCACGAAGGAAAGATGGACTTACTAGAGTTCACCCTGGCTGTAGTTGAGAGCTTGGCAAAAGCTTGTTCCCTGAACTTGCCACGGAAGCGCGGGCGACCATCTACCTCTCCACTTCAACCGCTCAAGAGGCCCAACGCGACCACACTGAGAGCAGTCCACGATGTTAGGTACGACCAGATTGGACACTGGCCTTCCGTAGAGAGAGAGCAGCAGCGATGCAAATTGGAAGGGTGTACAGGAAAGCCAAAGATAAAATGCCAAAAGTGCAACGTTCACCTCTGCCTGTCCAGTGGAAAGAACTGTTTTCTGGCTTTTCACACACGATAGCTTCAACCTTGGCGAGCAACTGTGCAGGAAAGCGCAAGAGTGCAATGTGAACCTTCTTCTTATGCGCCGTAAAGAACTGTTTTCTGTCTTTCCATATAAGATGGCAAGCACAGTGATGGAAGTGTCATTTGACCTTTTGGAGCAGGCCTTGTAGCAGGCAAAATGTTGTTTTGGAGCAGGTAGTGGCCCTTTTGGTGCAGGGTCCGGCATATGTTGGCATATTACTTGAAAATGAAATAATGCTGCATTGCTATATAAAGCCCATCTCTATTATTGGAACACAGCGCCTGTCGCCTTTTTAAGACAGGATATATAAAATTCCACAAAGTAAACACAAAAAACATTTTTTAAATAAAGTTTATCTGCTCGTCAGATAAAAAAATACAATTAAATATGTCACACTGAGTTCTGATGGTACAGGATATTTAGTTCTATCAGCCTGCACTTTTTTTAAGGTATCTGCAGCAGCATCTAACGACCCTCACTGTTGTGGAATGTTTTAGTTCAGATTAGAGTTGTCTTTCGGGCAGCAGCTTCAAATATTGCGGTATCTGATATTCGCTTAAAAAATTCCGATTTATTTTCGATGTGCTGGCGAAGTCACGATCGGATCACGGCGAGTTAACCCGTCGAGTGCGCTCCTTGGCATGCACCGACGCGCTGCAGAGAAACAACACCCGCGGAGCAGACACCGCCGTCGCGCGAGTCGCGCAGTGCTTTGTGCTCCGAAAAGGACGGTGAGGCTTTACCAGCACTACATCGAGAGTTTGGTGCAACTCAACTATACTTCGTTTCAGCTTCGGTGCGAGTGCAGCCGAAACTACAAGCGCGCGCATGGAGCCCGTAACGGTGCCCACACTGCACGAGCCCACGCGCGAGTCAGGAATGCACAGAGCATTGGGCTCGTGCTAGCTTTGACTTCACTGGTAGCTAGCGCACGGGAACAGGGCGGGCCAACATTGACAACATGCACAAGCTCGGCCTTTTTTTTTTTAAATAGGCTGCTCAGTGGGATAATTCTTCGCTTAGCCTCTGCGGCTTTGGTCTCAGATGTTGCTAACGTTGTTCCTTTCAATGATGATGATGATAATGCGCCCTCGCAGTTTCGGTTTGCGTAACAGTTGCGGCGCGGAAAATACCGCAGTACCGCCAAGCGCTCTGATAAGACTTCAAGTTTTATTTTTTATTGCTACATCTCACCTCGGCGCAGGCATGACGCAATTATTCGGTAAAATGACAATTGGGCACTACATGTAGCAGGATTGCGTCCTTGGCGCAATTTGGCGCAATTGGCGCAGCACTTCCATCACTGCAAGCAATTGTGCTCAGACCGAGCAATTTTCGGCAAAATAAAGTTCACCTTTCGACTTTGCGTTTGTACATTTTGTTAACCTCCAAGCCCTGACGTCCTATATATAGGACATGACGCAATCTCGAATGACAATGAGTACCAAAGGAATCTTTTTGTTGCAAAGGCCTTTAAACAATGTATTTAAGAAAGTTCAGGCGAGAAAAAAAATATCTCCACTGTAAAAAAAAAAATCAGGGCCGAAAGGGTTAAATGCCATTTAAAGTTTGTGTCACAAGACACTAAGCTTATTGCATATAACACCATTGCCTAACCTCAGCTTGAGTATCTGTCGTCTGTGTGGAACCCTTATCAATTATTCTTAATAGATTTGCTTGAATCTGTGCAGAACAAAGCTGCACACTTTGTGCTCTGAGATTTATAACGAGAGCGCAGCATGGCAGCAATTAAAGCAAAACTAAACATTTCCCCCTAACAGCACCGAAGGAACCGCGACGGCTTGTTAATGTTACACAGATTATACCATAACTCCCCAGAATCGTCCCTTAATGACCCCGCAAACAAATTTTTTCAAATACTTGCCATTATAAATCTCTATTGCACTATGGATCAAGGTGCCTGATGTCATCACTACAGTACCTAACACAGATAATTTCAGAGAGGCACTTAGGGTGCACGGCCTTCCTGATGCTCACGTGTGTGACGTGATTTTCCTTGCAGAAGTGCTTTTTTTTGTATCCTCCCCCCTTATGTAAAGCCCAGTAATGGACGATTTAAAGGGGTACTCCGCCGATTTTTGAGCTACCTCAACTAACTATATTTTCTGACTCTTCGGCCTTCGCCCTTTCTGGTATGCTATTTAGTATCGTGAAATTCATAATAGTTATTGCGAAATCGGCAAATGAAAATGATGCAAAAACAAACATTCAAATATACCCGCCCTTTTCAGGGCCGTGACGTCACTGGAAGTTTAGCTTGCCAGTCGGGCGAGCAGTCTAAAAAATCGAGTATGCCAATCATTTGTTCCGTGCTGGAGCGCGGGGACTGGAGCGAGCTTCCAAAGCATTCATTTGACACCATGAAACTGCTTCGAATCAGTTGGGAACAAATTCTACAGTCCAAAGAGTGAACCCCTGCACTTCCAATGACGTCACTTTTTCATTGTTGCCAGTAGAGACTTTCAGTTTGAAAAACACGGTGAGGACTAAAATTGTAAATTCAATAACTTCGTGAAAAAAAAATTATTTTGACCTAATATTTGGGATACTATTTTGGCGATGTTGTGTGGCGAGTTTAGCAAAATTTCAAGCAAATCGGGGACCATGAAGAAATCAGCGGAGTACCCCTTTAAGGGTAATAAAAATGGAATGAAATGAAATGTGCATTAAACTGTGAATGTTTTTGTTAGCAAAGGTTTGGGACACAGCTTTTAACAAAGGTTTGGGGGCAATCACATCACTGCACTAGTAAGGCTTTTCATGCATTGAATGTGGTTGGTCAGATACTCATGCCAAGTGAGCTCTTTGGGGCAGTTTGCAGCTAAAAGGTTTTGCAACCATGTGTGTTCAAGTCTAATTACTATTCATAGTAAAGGCTTGAGGGCACACCTTGCTGTAAGGCTTTTCTCCTGTGCAAGTTTGATTCTGGATAATCAACTGACTATTCCAGGCAAAGGCTTTAGGGTGCTGCTTGCACATGGAAGTTTTCCCTCTGCATGTGTTTCACTGTGCAAGATCAGCACGCTTCTCTAAAGAAAGGATTTGGGACAATGCTTGCATTTTAAGGATCTTCACCTTTGTGTATTTGAATGTGCTTGCTCAAGCTTCTGCGCAGCTTAAACTCTTTGGGACACAGCTCACACCTGTAAGGTTTGTCCCCTGTGCGCCTTATTTGTGTATGGACAACATGCTACTGTCTGCAAAAGTTTTGGGAGATCCCTTGCACTCGAATGTCTTTTTACCTGTGTGGATTCGCTTGTGATTCACCAGCTGGCTATTCCAAGTAAAGGCTCTGGGGCATTGGTCGCACCTGTGAGGTTTTTCACCCGTGTGCAGTTGATTGTGTGCAGCCAGTATGCTACTACTAGCAAAAGCTTTGGGACATTCCTTGCATTTGTAAGGCTTTTCGCCCGTGTGGGTTCGATTGTGCTTGATCAGCTGGCTATTGCAAGCAAAGGCTCTCGGACATTGCTTGCACCTGTAAGGTTTTCCACATGGGTGTGTTCGATTGTGCAAAACCAGTGCACTCCTCTGAGCAAAAGCCTTGGAACAGAGCTTGCACTCGAAAGGATTTTTTACCGTGTGTGTTTTTATGTGGTTGGCAAGACTTTCCTGTCGAGTAAACCCTTCCGGACACAGCTCACATTTGAAGCGTTTTTCTCCTGTGTGCGTTCGATTGTGACTGATCAGACTACTCTTCCAAGCAAAGGCCTGGGGGCACAGCTCACACCTGTAAGGTTTTTCACTGGCATGAGTTACACTGTGGGCAATCAGATGGCATTTTTTGGCAAAGGATTTGAGACACTGCTTGCATTTGTAAGGGTTTCCATGTTTGTATGTTTGAATGTGCTCAGTTAAATTTTCAGACCGAGTAAACACTTCCCTACATAGCTTACACCTGTAAAGCTTTCCACTTATTGTGTGTCTTTCATTGTGTCTGGTCAGACTTCTGTTACAACTAAAGGCTTGGGGGCACTGCTTGCATTTGTAAGGCTTTTCGCCAGTATGCAGTCGATTGTGGATAATCAGACGGCTCTTCCGAGAAAACGCTTTGGGACACTGCTTGCATTTGTAACAATTTTCATGCTTTTGTGTTCGAATGTGATCGATCAGATATTTGTGGCAAGTAAACTCTTCCAGGCACAGCCCGCACCTGTAAGGCTTTTCACCCGTGTGCGTTCGGTTGTGGATAGCCAGATTATCGAGGTGAGCAAAGGCTCGGGGACACAGCTGGCACTTATAAGGTTTGTTGTCCAAGGAAGTTTGAATCATGCGATCCACACTGCCGCACTTCTTACGAGCCTTGGCACTTTGTTGTTTGGCACCATGAGCAACCAGGTGGCTGAGGATTTGTCGATGATCTGTGGTGACATGAGCGCAGGAGCAGCATCTGAACTGGATGTCTTTGGTTGGTTTCAATGGGCAGCTGGTCTCCCCCAGCAAAGCATCTCCATCACCTACAAAATATAAAACATTGAGTATTTTTACATTTGCAAAAGGTCCAACCAAGAAAGGCTCTTGGTTAAGAAATAGGTAGTTTCTGCATAACACTGCACATTGCCTTAGGCTCAGTGGGTTAACTACTTACTGCTACTTGGGTTCGGTTGCAAACAACTGAACTACAGGTGCACCCGGAAAGTAAGTTGCATCCATGTACGAGTTCTGCAGGAGTTTTCTCTACACAGCCGTGCATGCACTGTTGTGTTCTCATGTTCCCTCATCCATCATTCACACCCTAACGCCATTTTGTGAAACTGATTATTTTTTCAGTTTTTGATTTGCAATAATCCCGTTTGAGTCAATGGAATGGCCTACCCCAACTCCAAAGTCTGGTCCATCTCAAAATGTTTTAATGTAACAAATGCCAGACGCTGCAGATCAGCAGTCTCAAACTCATTCGAGTGTAAGGGCCAGATAGCCCACCCCCAAAAGGTCGAGGGCCCACTAGGGAGGGAAGGAGGGCAATATTTCGCTATTTCTGGACAAAAAATAAACAAACAAGCAGGAGTGGTGTTTTGCATTGCAAAGCACCGACACCGACATTCTAATGATATTCTAAGGAGCCTTGTGTTTTCTGCATTTTGTAAGCTCAGCGTTTTGCCATTTTTAGCTTTCATTTGTATATACAACCACTTTGGGCCTACCCCGATGGTATACGCCTCGCAAGTGGGCTCATTTTCGTCTTCTGTGCATGAGAAAAGAAGTAGCGGTGACGTCAGAACGCCGAGCCCTGATTGGCTGATCGCGACCCCCTATCTCAGCGTCGCCTGCTCGCAACGTCATCTGCGTCTGTCTTACCTTTCCTGCGACTTTCGGAAGTGCAGGTCTTTACGAGCGAGCTCGACTTCGCCTTTCAGAAAGGGCAGACGAAATAACTCGAGCGGTACGTTGTTTTTGTCTAACTACTAGCAGACGAGCATCAAGGAGAGAAGTCAAAGGACTCACTGGCGAGGTGTCCCGAGGCGCCGAGGTTTGTTTGCTAAGTACCGAGAGTGAGCGTGTTAGTGTCCGCAAGTTCCCTCCCAAATACTTTTTCGCTCCTTTCGTGTGCGGCGAGACCCCTCATTCTTTAAGGGGACAGGGTAGGCCCTATTCCTCCCATGTGTTTCAGCCTATGTATGTGACCCTTTTTCTCAGGATCTGCTAGGGTTAGAGGATTCATGTTGGTATCATTGTATTTAGCTTTCTGTGTTCTCTTTACTGAACTAGATTTATTGTTATATATATTTTAGTTCTTTTTTGCTTTTGTTTTTACTGGACCCTCCTAATTTTAATGCCAAAATAGACCATAAACAGCTTGTCAAACAAAATTGCCTTGATTAATTTCCATAATTCTAGTTCAGTAGACTCCCCCTTGTGTTGTCTTGTTAGCGGAAAAAAATAACACTTCTAGTTTTTATGGTTTAAGAGAAAAAGGGTCAAACATTGCAAAAAAATTATGTTTTGAGATAATCGACTTTGAAGTGAAAAAAGGCGCTTTATAATAAACTTGCACTCTAGAAATGCATGCTGATGTATCCGTTCGGTAGCCACTAGCCAGGTTGTCACCTCCATAGTCAATATTTAGTTTCTTTGTTTGCTGTCTTGCTTTGTGGGCCTCTTTTGTGACGAGCTGTGTAGCCCTGTCTGCCAAGTAAAGTCTTCGCCGGTCAACGCCGCGCAACCACTGCACCATGAATCATCCTGGTAAAACGCCAAGTAGAGGCTCGAAGTTGTCCGTTTTGACGTCTCTCTAATCAGTGTGTCTAACAGCACTTTTCACAGTTCAGAAAGTAGGTGCAGGCGACGCCAGCTCTTAGTGCTGCTTTTTCAACCAGCTGCAAGTCCCCACCACACACTTTGCACACCCAGCTTTCGGCGACGGTACAGGACAGAAGGTCGATGTCAATCAGTGCACAGTTGCAGTCACTAACACTTGCCTTGAGCTCTTCAAAGCATGCTGCCGAGTGCGACAGCTTCGAAGAAGACGCACACGTGGTAGCCGCTGCATCAGGCGTCAGAATGCGTTGCGGGGACTCGGCGGCATAAGAAATTGACCTATGCCGACTACTCTGGAAGCGACGCTTCTAAAATATCTTCTTCGTCTTTCGTCATTTTTAACATTTCAAATCTAGTGTTAAAGTAAACAATAAATTACCTTGCCCGTGGAAGCATGCCGAACCAGAAGCAAAAGTATGCGCGTCGCGACTGACGCCGGCAGTGTCTGAGGATTTATGGGGCTAAAAATGTAAAAGCTAGACAGCTTTGTGATGTTGCTGGACGAGCAATAAACATTCCGCTAAACCTGATGAAAATCTTCGTTTTTTTTTTTACGTTTTTTTTTACAACATAGGAGAGATACAGATCGTGCATAGGTGTAAAAGGGGGCGTGGTCGGTCACCACCTAGGTTTCGGAAAAGGTCATTTTTCCTGTAGATAAATCGCGCACGCTCAAATTACATAGTCAGCATTGTTCAGGAAAGACTGGGAAATCCAAATCTCTAAAAAACAAAAACTCAATTTTTTTCAAAATTTTGCCCTACCCTGTTCCTTTAACGGCGTCGGCGGGTTGGCGCAGTCAACGTCGTCTGCTTTACGTCTGTTAATCAAAGCGATGGCTGCTTTACCTTTCCTGCGTCTATCGGAGATTCACCGCTTTTTCACCGGCGAGAGTCACCGTTGCCTCGGGAAACAAGGAGATAACAAGAGGAAGAAATTGACCTCTTAATCTAAAACTGAGGTCAGCGATCAAAGTATAATATGGGAAGGGTTCACACCAGCCGGTCGTGGGCAGAGGGTCGCCAAGTCGCGGAGTGCCTGCTAGGCCTAACTGCCGTGCTCGCTTGGTCACGTTCGGTGGAATCGTGGCCGTCGGAGCTTTTCCCGGGTGTTTGTGGATCCAGCGTTCTTGTTCGTCGTGGTCTGTTTCAAGTACTGTTTACATTCTTCTTGCTGCTTGAAGTCGGGACGCGTGAGAAGCGCACATAGAAAAATAAACGTCCGTGGGTCGTCGCGAGCGCGACGCTGTCGGCCATGCTGATTTGATCGTAAGTGCGTAAGACAGCTTCGGAGCTGTCGTAGGATTTCCTCGTAACCTGCGCAAAACTTACGAAAATTTCGTTTCGTGAATACGAATTTGTTTTTAAGTTATGTCTTACGCACATGTTTGGCGTAAGATCGTTTCATGAATCTGGCCTCTGCACTTCCGAAAGTCGCAGGAAAGGTAAGACAGACGCAGACGACGTTCCAAGCAGACGACGTTGCAAAGGACAAGACGACGCTCAGATAGGGGGTCGCAATCAGCCAATCAGGGCTCGGCGTTCTGACGTCACCGATACCCCCTGCGCAAGAAGCAGACGAACTTGCCCTCCGCATAAGATTTAAAACACCAACGTAGTGGCAGTCTTCAATACAACGAGAGCAAGCACGCCGTCCTTGCCCTGTTGCACAATGACTCAAAGGCATTAACAATATCCCTTCATAAGGCAGTTTTTGCTTTCCAGGTGATTTTTATAACAGCATTATAAAAAAATTACTTGTATTTTAAAGGTATTTTCTCACAGCTAGAAGCTCGAGCTCATAGCAGTCTCTTTGGCAGTTGCTCCCGCTGAACAAAAGTTTCTTCAGCCGAGGTGCCTTTTTGATCGAAAAGCTCGCACTTGTAGACTAGTGGTATTTGCCATTCTCGTTGGTTTACAAAAAAAGGGCTGAGAAGGAAATATTTAGACAAAGCAATACTCAGTCCAAATGAAAACAGAATAGTGCAAAATGTATGAACGAGTTATATGAGACGCGCTCCTTTTTGAGCTGAAATGAATCGACGCTATTAAAACTTGTATTTATGGCGCATGTAGGGCTGGAGGCGTGGGAATGGGGGCTGGCAGCTGAGTGATGTTTGCGGGCCCTGTCCGTGTCCCAGAGAGTCGTGGGCCGCGTGTTTGAGACCCCTGCTGTAGATCATGAAAGATCCATCAGCATAACTAAATGATTTGTAGAATAAAACAAGGAGTGAAGATAAAGTGGAATCGAATTTGAATATTTCATGAAGAGTGAGACAGGGCATTCATGATGCGCTCAAAGGCACTAGGTTTTCTCTAGCCCCAAAAATTTGGTAGAGGAAGAGAATAAAAAAATTCTGGAGAACCAACGATTTACAATCTGCGGTCTTGCAAGCATGTCTCTGAAATTTTCAGATCATTAGTTTATGAAACCATTACCAAACACTACAGTGGCAGGAACTGTCCTCACGGCGGTGCCAAAGTTGCTGGCACAAGCCTCGGGCAATAGACTTTTATAAAAAGGGTATCCAAAAACTTGTGCCACAGACTGACAAATGCCCTAAAGTTAAAGGAGAATACATCAAACTGTAGATCAAGGTATGCAGCAGGATCTGAAAATAAAGCACTTTGCAAATGCTGTTCAATAACTTTCTTATTTCAAAAGGGAACTCGACTTCTCAATGCACCTCACACATTAAGTGGTTCAGTCAACCGAAACCACGCAGTAGCATGCTTCTCGTTTCTTTCTTCAGTGTATGCATTTGGCTTTAGAGCCAAGTAAAAGTGGGTGAAAGCCATCCAGCCAGCTCGCGTTAGCCATAGATCTTTCCGAGAAATTGCAAGAAATTATGGGGCTGTTGCGACGGATGCTTGAACCTATTTGGAAGGTTCATAGATCCTGAAAGCAGTATGATCCATTTTCTCTATCATTACCACTTCGGAACATAAAAAAAAATAAAACTAGCACCAAACACGGCTGACCCTATGACTGTTGTTGCCCCTCATAAATGGTCATCCTTACGAATTCTTGCCAAAACGCAAGTGCTTTCATCTTTTATGATTTGAAGTAACTATAAACATTGCATTCACATCCCGTTTCGCCTTGCTGGGGCTTAAATACACTGGATCCCGGGAAAGTAGCGTCATTGCCTTCTTTGCCTGCTACCGTAGTTGAACACAAGCAAATACTAACATAAAGA